GTACCTTATCCATATAGTAATTTAAATCAAATATTTACCAGTTAATTATATTATTTAATTGTACAAGTTCCCCTGCTGTAGCGAAAGTGAAGCCAAATCCTTTTCAAGGACTTCGCTATCCTGTGCTACCAAAATGCGTTTACCATAATTCATACTGTCCGATGAAGCCAGCACGCAGTGGTTCAAAATTGGAATTTAATATTGATAATCAACATAAACCTTAATTTTTCAACCAATTTTTACTAAAAACCCAAAAAAAAATTTTTGGTGAACATTTTTTTATAACATTTCATTTTTCTTTTTTTTTGTGTATATTTTTGTTTTGGGAGACCCATACAATTGTTTTCAAATAGTGTTTGAAATTAAGTGAAAAATGAAGGCCCCAGTGAATTACGAACACTAAATTCCAGTTTTGAACCACTGTGCAGCAGGGGGATTATTGTCCTCTTTCAGTGGAACTGGTAAACTCAGCGTGCAACACGAACCTGTGCACAACTTTCCCTGTGCCTTATCGATTGTACAAAGATTGCCGATTAAATAGAAACCCTTAAGTGGGGTGCGAAACAAACTCGCGAAGGTTTTCATTATATTTTATAAGGGACATTTTTATTTTTCATATTCTGCGTTAAAAAATTTACCTCTGAAAAATGCAGAGCCGATTTAAAGGACAGATTAAGAAATAAAGGACAAAAGGCGTCCTTTATTTTGAAAACAATTATAAAGGACAGGGCGTTAAAATAAAGGACTGTCCTTTAAAATAAAGGACGGATGGTCACCGTATCCATACGTTATTAGTTACGGTTGTAGTGTTTCTTCAATCCCCCTTAGTCGAAAAGGAATCGATGGTTGTAGGAGTTACCCACTTCGCTAATCTGCATTTTCGAGCCGTGCCCAGCCATCATGTTGGCTATTTCGTTCCTTTTGATATTGATATGACCAGGAACCCAGTAGAGAGAGGTTGTAACATGACTCAGTTAAGGCAGCGTTACATGAAATTTCGGAACTACTTTCAACTTGACCACCTTGGAAGCTGAAGTTTTCAATGCCGTCTGGCTGTCAACCAATATAGTGACGTTCCCTCACGGAGGCTTAGCATTCCATTTGCGACAAGCCGACTTCTCCGCCTGAAAGGCACTGCAGTTATCGGACGGTCAATACGATTGCCTTATCTATATGTCCTTGAAGTATAGACTCCAGCCGTCTCCTTTCTCTAGCCTTGAGCCTCGGTATAGATGGAAGTGCCATCATTTACCCACAGTAGATCGCCTTCCCAATCTTCCATATTTGGAAAATGTATGGGAATCTTAAGCAAAAATTCCAAGTTGGCGTGAGGTACTCAGTTTTGACTTCTAGATCGGCCTTGATTCCGTTACGCCGTCCACTATTAATTACCTCTTAGACCGCTTTTATCCAGTGCTTTCCACCAGACCAGCGCACCTGGGGTTAAAATTGGCCGGATGCTGTAGTGTGCACACCGTGAGTGGTATGCGGTGACAGCCCTCAGTTTTTTCAGAAAGCTCTTTTGCAGGTATAGTACGCTGCTATGCCCTTCTTTGCTCTTTCCTCTACCTTGGGCCACCACGAAATTTAAAAGTAGACATGGACAGCGTTGGCAGAAGTCTTGCACTTGCCTAAGTATTTCGCTGCGGAGGATAGCTTCAGTCAAAGTCCTTTCAACGTTTATGGTCGTCGAAGTTCTGCAAGGTGGGATCATACCAAGATATATAGAATATATTTATACTTTGCTGTACAAATTAAAGAAATAAAGCATGCATACCTATTCATGTGCTCATATATGCACATACATATGTATGTACATATGTACTTCGGCACGCCTGACTTCACAATTTTTTGACTAGCGACAATTGCCAAACAAGTACGCAATAAAGAAGGATTTGTCACTTGAGATGTTTAAGCTTTGCTATTTATGCACCACTACTCCCAAACTAACACTTCATCTATGTGGTACAAGTACTAGACCGAATTACATATGTACATTAGACTGCATCACCAAAGAAAAGTTGCGGTTTTTCCGCCGGGATTACAAAATTTATTATGTCCACCAAACGTCCAACAAAATATTTCGGAGAAATATAAAGATTTACGTGAGCTGGACCGATTTGAAAATACCTTCAAAAATGGATTTTTTTGTGAATAAAAATAGTTTCTTCATCTTTCTCTTTCCTCCTTTGAATGAGTTAATTAGCAAAGAAATAAAAAGGGTGAGAAAATACCTTCCCAATGATACCTCACAAGTCTAAATCGGAATAGTTTAGGTTCAGTTATTCAAGTTTTTCTTATACCAATCTTTGAAAAATTCCGTTACGATTCCGTTTAACATTTTGAATTTTTGAAATTTTTTTTTCAATTTTTATGCAAATTTTTTAAGCTTAAACCGGTTTGCCATTTGAGCGTATTTTTCTAAAAAAAATCTTTAAGAAACTATTTTTATTCATGAAAAACTCCATTTTTGGAGGTATTTTCAAATCGGTCAAGCCCGCGTAAATCTTAATATTTTTCCGAAATATTATGGTGGACGTCTTAATATATAATAGACTCTTTAATTCCAATGAAAACACAGTACCAATTTTTTTTTTTTGTACGGGGAGTGATGCAGTCTAATATTCACGAATGTAGATTAGCGTGCATCATAAAAAAAAGTTGCATTTTTTCCCCCGGAATAATAAAATTTATTATATTATTATCACCATATTCTATCATCTGAGGTAATTTTTTTATTTCTTTTAAATTATTTTATTTATAAAAAGCTCGATTTTTAATTTATTTTGCTGAAATATTTATACTATCTTTGNTATTTTGCTGAAATATTTATATTATCTTTGGAATTAAAAAGTCCTTCAAAATAAATCCTGCGGTCAGAGAGAAAAAATAAAAACGCCACATTAAATAAAAAAGTAGGTTTCAAACCGATTTATTTATTATTTATTTAATGGTAGGAGAGCTTCTCAAATAATATGGAAGCAATTTATTCGATTCAAGTTGTTGAAAAGTGATGAATATCTAAATCCCGGGACTAATCCCGGGATTGTGACAACGCCATCCCGAAAATCCCGGGGGCCCGGAAAAAGCCGAAAAATTAACATCCCTAGTACATACACACACATACATGTGTGCAATATTTGGCTCATCTTTCAGAGTATTTAGTGTTGCCAAACATCTGCCTACGGAACATTTCCTTTTGGTAGAGCATAAATCACATTATTTTTACACAAAAAAAAAAATATAAATAAATAAGGAAAACCAAAGCTTTATAGAAATATAAAGCAGAAAAATAGCGGCCAAATACAAGCCGAAGGAACTGAATGGCGGAAATAAGTACACACATATGCTTTATTGTGTAGTATTTCTGTGTTAAGCTGAAAAGCTGAGTTGCAGTTTGGCCCTGGCCTGAGGCCTGTACAAACATGCGCACACACATACATACATACATACATACATACATACATACGTACACAAGTAGACGCACTCAAACAGCGTCCACTGCTGTCGCTGTCCGTAAATGAGATCTAGAACCGAGTACGCTATGGCCCCTGGCCAGTTCAAGCTGTTTCGGCTTTATCCTTTCAAATTTTCCTCCCTTTTGCAATTGCCAGACGAGCTTCCGTTGCTATGCATTGAGGATGTTGGGAACTTATCTTCTAGTACATACATATGTACATATGTATGTATGTGATAGTATAGCATAAACTATTATTCATGAGATACGAGCGAATATTGGCTGCAGAACGCAGTCGCCAGTTCACGCAACGCAATTTACGCACCCCTCGAATTCGCAATGGCTCGTCGTCGTTCCACTTCTCGTAGGGGTTGAATTGTCATGGCAACAATAAAGAGCGCGCTGTGCGGGATGCCAAAAAAGCTCAAACAGAAAGAAGTAGGAGTACAATTTGCTTTCACTGCAGTTCGCGATTTCAACGGATTTTCGTATATAAATCATTCATTGCTTGAACTGTGCGCTGCACTGACATCCTTACTCTCTCCCTACTTCAACTTCCGACTGGCAGTTTGTGAAAGCTGCAAGGGAGATATATGTACATGCATACCTATGTACATATATGCAAGGCTGCGTGCCATGGTGCGTGTATTTGTGTGAGGCGGGCCGCCACACTCTTGACTACAGTCACTTGAGATTATGAATTTCAATAATGACAAATATTTGGGTCAATAACTTGGCTGCTCATAGAGGCGGCAAAGTTGGCCATCGTACAGAGCAACAAAAACACCAAAAAAAAAAAAACAAAAACCCCTTGCAATAAAAACTAACAACATAAATACTCTCGAGCATGAATAGTTGGCAATAAATTGTCTCTGTTTGCGGAATAAATTATAATCAACAGAGTCGTAGTGGCGATACGAGCGAGTACTTTACTTTATGACAACACAATTTCATAAGGATGCATATCGGTATGTCTACATATATGTATGTACATACAAACATATGTACGTATGATGCATACACAAATACCAATACATACACAAAATTTATTTCCGTTTGCAATTTCCTTTTATGATATTTAGTATTGTATTTATTTAAGGACAATCGCTGTATATCCTGTTTATTTAAGTATGAATACATACTCATATGTCATATTTATATGTCATACATAAATGTGCATACATATGTATGTGTGTATTCATAATAGCATGTTTTTTTTGGTATCATAAAATTTGCAACAAAGGAAGTGAGTAAAATCTTGTCTACATTTATTTATGACCGTGTCAGTACAGTACATACCACTTAAGAAAATGGCAGTAACATATGGAGATAAATATTCTATTAAAATATAAAAAGTGGGAATTTAATTTTTTCAATCGAAATTGTATGCAAACGCTTAGCACACCGTCTTTGAGTGCTACAAGTAGGACGCCATCCAAATATTAAAATTATCCAAAAATTTATTTATTGATACATCTTCTAGCTTCATCACAGATCAATAAAAAAAGTAGTCTAATATCTTATTTTATTAATTTAAACTCACCTTACAGGCACATTTAAAGCACTTTGAATTCCACTTTATTAGTTCTTGAATTTGAACTTCTTCGCCTTCATTGGAACAAGATTGTAAATTACCTGAAAAAAAAAAATATTAAAAAAGGAAAATGTTAGTCTTATGTGGTTTTTAATGGTATGAAAGAAATTAAAAATTTCACTCCAAGCTGACATACATATGTGCATACGTATAGAAGCAAATTTCAGAACCGCACTCTTTTCGTAAAATTAAAATACAGCGGCTCCGCTGGCATGACCATGTCGTTCGAATGAACACCGACGCCGCTGCTCTGAAAATTTTCCGCTCGGAATTCGCTGGTGGTAACAAAGGAAGACGGACTAAGCGAAGAAGGGCTTGGCTTCACTTAAATAGCATTTCCAATAGGCGTCACTTAGCATAGAAGAAAAAATACTGGCGTGCGTTGTTGAACTCGGGCTAAACTAGCTTAGGCGGTTAGAGCGCCAAAAATTAAGAAGCGCCTTCATAAGAAAAGTGGTTTAGGGCATATTTCCCGGAAAAAACATTCTAAGAGTTCAAAATTGACCGGACTATATCATATAGTCGGCATATACTCTATCGGGCCGTCTTACATACATCAACTTCGTTGTTTTTGTTGCTATCGATTTGAAATTCGGTTTGTGTACGTACATATGTATATTGCATGGAGTTCTGAGTTGCCCTAGATTTTTTTAATACAATGTTCTGCTAGTTTTCTTCCGTAGCCGCGACAACATCGTGAATATCACGTTTTTTAATTGAAATTTACTTTATATTAATTGAAGCCTTTAAGGACTGTTTCCAGCTCTCAAAAAAAGAAAAGTTCATATAAAATTACGCAACATAAATGAAAAAGAAATTTGTGTTCAGAATTTTTACAAAAATTCTAGGTATTCAGTTTTATAGCCCATTGAATTCAGGAAGGTAAAAACGACAACGTTGTCCCACCCGTGACAGAGGAATTTCGGATATTTTATAATAAAGCAATAATTTTTATTTTATTTTTTTGCTTTGTTAGTATTTGTTCGTGGTTCTTTTTTTATTTCAAGACATCAAGATCACACAGAAAAGTGAACTAAATTCGCAGAGTTTCCGTAAAATATATCAGCTCCAAAAAGCAGGCTCCAGCCGTGACCGAGGAAATAACTCAGATTTTTTTCCCGTACAAAAGTAAGTTGGAATTTTTTTCGTATTTGATAATAACTAATAGAATAGTGAATTAGGTGTAGCCTTTTCAAAATGTAGAATTGTTGAGTTTTTTATACTTAAATGTCCCACCCGTGACAGTGGAATACCCCATAGGTATTTTTGCAAAAATTTACACCAAAAGCAAAATTCTTTTTCAAGCAACAGAAAAGCAAAAAATAATCTTGTAATTTTTCTTCAGAGCTGGAAACGTGTAGTATTTAAATTTTTTCTATGTATTTTATTTAAATATAAATTTTGTCATACAAATATACACCCAAATTCATAAAAAATAAAGTAGACTTTAACTGGATTATAAATCGAAAATTAGTAGGAAAATGTCACTTATTTTCGCTGTTCACTTCGGTATCTGTCAAAATATTGCGACCATAATTTTCATTCATGTATCTTTTAAACGGTTTTGTTTTACACAGTTTTGTATGGAACGTATCTACCATGTGAAAACAGAATTAGGTGTATTTCGATAGGGCCTATTTCCGTTACCACTTTTTCGAGAACCGTAATTAGTCTAAATTCCCGGTTAACACTACGCCACTTCAAAATTTTAAAGCGCGATATCAAAATAATTCGACGTGGCCCAAGAAAAATGAAGACATTCTCGGAATCAGGAGGCCACACTTTTGACACCAGATACCTTTTTCAAATCCCTTGGATTTTTTAAACACTTTAAAAACCGTCCTACAGTTTTATATACATATGTACATATATAAAGATGCCATAGTTCACTGTATACTTAAGGTAAGGAGAAAGAGTCCGAATCACAAAGACATACTATACATCTGAATCAAATTACATATTAAATTTATGAGTAATTTTCACAGAAACAAAAAGGGTACAAAATTTAAAAATTTTTCATTTAAAGTCCAACTCGTATGTACATATATGTACACTGTCGGAAAAAAGTATGGGCACAGTGAGCTTTGTACAATATATGCAACAATTTTTATTTTTATATTTTTTTGCAAATTTTTTATAAAAATATTGTTCCTACTACATCAAAAAAAATATAACTCTTAAACTTTGTGCGAAACTCAGGGAAATGCAATAAGTTTTCATACAAATTTTCAACTTTATTTAATCAGATTTTGTAGAAATTGCAGTTTTTTAGCCCAATAAATTTTATTACAAAAAAGTGCAAGTTTAAAGTAATAAGGACTTAACGTTGATGTTTGGCAATTTTTTTCATGCAGTTTCTTTCATAATGAAAAAATTTGAAAATACTTTGTACGGAGAAAAAGCGAAAAACCTTCAACAAAATCAACCCGATTTTTGACTAACTTCAAACTTGCATTTTCCATACAGGAATTTAATGGGCTAGAAAACTCAAAAAAAAAAATAAAAAATTTGAATAAAAAGTTTAAAATTTGTGGAATTTTCCTAAATTTTGTACAAAGTAAATACATTATATTTTTATGTTTTTTTGTCGTAGATAGAACCATGCTTTTATAAAAAATTAGCGGAAAAAACTTTAATAAAAATTGTTGCATTTATTGTGAAAAATTCTCTGTGCCAATACATTTTTCCGGCGGTTTACATATGTATGTATGTATGAAAAATTCTCGTTCACTCCATTTTCCATATACATTTACAAACTAACGCCACACGAAAAATATTATGTGGAAAACAACGATTAGATGATTAGTATTTTTATTGTTTAATTTACAAAATAAATGTATATTTACATACATGCATGGCTGTAGACGGACACTTAAAAGATCACATATGTATGTACATACACGCGCACTCATACCAATCAACCGTTTTATTTATGAGGTACCAAGAACGCACTTCCATTATTAGATAGTAAATATTCCAAACATACAAGTACTTTTTACCTGTGGCAAATTGATCGGACAAGTCTTTCGACACACAACACGACGCGCCACGTACAAAAAAAAAAGGTAAAAGAATGCTGCTTATCAACACACTTAAGACAATACTAAGTAAAAGCGGAAATGCTTCATCATCAAAGAAGGTACTCTTCGTACATAGTACTACACCACAAACAAAATTCCAACGAGATCCTACACAGCAGCAGTCCAAGAATAAGAACTGCACACAACAAAAAGAAAAAAAACAGCAGAAATCAATGGATTGTCGAGCAAGTTGTTTTTCGTTTCGGTTACTGGAGCTCATTACGATATTGTGCATTGTTTGTTATAACTACAGGTAGTATGTATTTATGTATGTATGTATGTATGTATGTAGGTACAAACTTAGGTATTTATTTTACTTTTGTGTGTAGTGGCGCTTGTAGATTTTGTTGATTGTTCTTTAAGTGCACAGCAAATACGATATTTAGCTGCATTGTTTTGTTGTAAATGGCGCTAACATACATACATATTTAGTGTGGTGCATAAGAGACGAAGATAACATAAGTATACATATACATAAACATAAATACATATGTACATACAAAGCCAAATGCCTATGCACTCCGGAGTTGAAGGTATGTAGTCTACGTAACTGCTTCAATGGTAACTGTGTCTTCGGCCTTTTCGACTGGCCATTCTTAAAATGCGCACCAACCAAATCGTAGCGAAAAAGAAAACAATGACTTCGAAAATCAGTAAAAGACACCGCCGTAGATTGAAAAGGTATGTGAAGGGGCGGTGGAGGAGGCGTTGTGGCATGCAGTAAAAGATCAGAGGACCGCTAGCCAAGACCACCTGCATGGCAGTGGCGATGACGATGGCGCTGCGCTGTAACGTGCTGCGTGCTGTAGCGTACGCCCTCAACCTCTTCGTTGTGCTTCCTTTTTTTGCAAGGGTCAACTTGGTTGGCTTTCGCGGTTGCATTGCGTTTATGATTCCTTAGTAGCCATAGTGCGTACAGTTAAGAGCAGAGTTTTAGAAACGAGCGAGAAAAATTTCATAGAAAATTAAGCGGTAACATACACAGGAAGATGATATAGCTGTTTAGAAAACTTCTGCAGAATGGCTTTCCACTCTACGGCCAAGTTTTGATCATCGGTTTAATTTTAATATATTTTAATATATATACATATATATATATATTTTTATGAGAAATAATTATCTCTTTTGCGAACTAAAGCACTGAAGGCCAGGACCCTCAGCTGTATTGCGGAAAGTTGTACTTTAAAACCTTCAAAGATGACATCGTGTTAGAAATTTAATTTCAAATAATTTTGGTTCGTCTTCGCCTCTACAATTTTTGCAAAAATAATTATGGGAAATCGCTGACCATCTAGAGTAGGAGCGAATAGGGCAGAGCTCAGTAGGGATGGCGATGAGTGTTGCCGTCAGAACTTGACTTCGTTAGGAGGTTGAAAGCTCCCTTAACCCTGGAAAGGTAACCGTCTTAGGAGTTACTTTATAAGTAAACCTCGCAAATTTTACGACTACTTACTTTTGTATACAATTTTAGAAAAATTATTATTTAATGTTGATATTTTTAGTGCAATTATTTATAAAGGACTTTGCGATAATTTAAAAAAAGATAAATATGTAAATGAATTCGTAAAATTACAAGGTTTTCCTTCCTAGGGTTAAGGTTATATTCCGGCTAAGTGATTATGACTACTTATGGCAATCCGACGACATATGCCATTTCTAAACAGAATTGAAGTAGATTTTTTGGTTTAAAGATCCTTTTCTAGCTGGGGTTCTTTCTATCCTTAGGGATGTCAGAGAATTATTCCTAACTAGCACATGAATATCTCATCTCCTTTGGTCAGAGTGAAGGCCCAATTTTGACAGCGTCCTTGCGAACTCCTGCACCCGACCCAGGTGTTTCTATCTAGGCAAACTCCACTGTATATTTGAGTGCACAAAGGCACACTGCAGCATTCAGACGCCGCAGCAGCAGAGTTATCCCACCGTTCACATAAATGAAAATATCAGAAAAAGGGCTAGCG